TCAGGTGTGCAATTTGAAACTCGGATGTTGAGCCATAAATAAATGTAAAAGAGAAAAGGACATATGGATACGAGTTTAGAGTAACTCTCCATCACTGTAACATGATACTATATACAGTCAGAAAGTGCAATAACTAGGCACAAAACTGACAGAGTACTGAGACATTCGACGTCCTGACACCTAACTTTAACACATCTCCGTAGCGCTAACCGACAGCCTTCCAACTTGGAAGGTTCAAGGTTATGGAAAGACCAAAGAGGGGAAGGCAAGCGCAACGAAAACGAGCAAAAGCTACAGTCCCAACGGAACAAAGAATGTCGATTGTTACTGGACGATGACGAGACCAGTACGATATTTGACAAAGCGGTCTAACTACAATTTGAACCTTCCAAGTTGGAAGGCTGTCGGTTAGCGCTACGGAGATGTGTTAAAGTTAGGTGTCAGGACGTCGAATGTCTCAGTACTCTGTCAGTTTTGTGCCTAGTTATTGCACTTTCTGACTGTATATAGTATCATGTTACAGTGATGGAGAGTTACTCTAAACTCGTATCCATATGTCCTTTTCTCTTTTACATTTATTTATGGCTCAACATCCGAGTTTCAAATTGCACACCTGATGAGCCGTCACGAACCATACGGCGAAACGTACGTCGTGTGAAACAACTTGTTTTGTAGTCAACTAGTCCATCACAATGTCATGCATGAGGAGTACTGTAGGAGTTTGGCTTTCGGCTTGTACAATTCGTTTTCGCAAAGCTTCCCTTTCTTTACTTATCTTTGATATTTATGACCCACCCAAGTTGGGTGGTGTGCTGCTTTGCTGCTTCGAATTGTAGTTAGACCGCTTTGTCAAATATCGTACTGGTCTCGTCATCGTCCAGTAACAATCGACATTCTTTGTTCCGTTGGGACTGTAGCTTTTGCTCGTTTTCGTTGCGCTTGCCTTCCCCTCTTTGGTCTTTCCATAACCTTGAACCTTCCAAGTTGGAAGGCTGTCGGTTAGCGCTACGGAGATGTGTTAAAGTTAGGTGTCAGGACGTCGAATGTCTCAGTACTCTGTCAGTTTTGTGCCTAGTTATTGCACTTTCTGACTGTATATAGTATCATGTTACAGTGATGGAGAGTTACTCTAAACTCGTATCCATATGTCCTTTTCTCTTTTACATTTATTTATGGCTCAACATCCGAGTTTCAAATTGCACACCTGATGAGCCGTCACGAACCATACGGCGAAACGTACGTCGTGTGAAACAACTTGTTTTGTAGTCAACTAGTCCATCACAATGTCATGCATGAGGAGTACTGTAGGAGTTTGGCTTTCGGCTTGTACAATTCGTTTTCGCAAAGCTTCCCTTTCTTTACTTATCTTTGATATTTATGACCCACCCAAGTTGGGTGGTGTGCTGCTTTGCTGCTTCGAATTGTAGTTAGACCGCTTTGTCAAATATCGTACTGGTCTCGTCATCGTCCAGTAACAATCGACATTCTTTGTTCCGTTGGGACTGTAGCTTTTGCTCGTTTTCGTTGCGCTTGCCTTCCCCTCTTTGGTCTTTCCATAACCTTGAACCTTCCAAGTTGGAAGGCTGTCGGTTAGCGCTACGGAGATGTGTTAAAGTTAGGTGTCAGGACGTCGAATGTCTCAGTACTCTGTCAGTTTTGTGCCTAGTTATTGCACTTTCTGACTGTATATAGTATCATGTTACAGTGATGGAGAGTTACTCTAAACTCGTATCCATATGTCCTTTTCTCTTTTACATTTATTTATGGCTCAACATCCGAGTTTCAAATTGCACACCTGATGAGCCGTCACGAACCATACGGCGAAACGTACGTCGTGTGAAACAACTTGTTTTGTAGTCAACTAGTCCATCACAATGTCATGCATGAGGAGTACTGTAGGAGTTTGGCTTTCGGCTTGTACAATTCGTTTTCGCAAAGCTTCCCTTTCTTTACTTATCTTTGATATTTATGACCCACCCAAGTTGGGTGGTGTGCTGCTTTGCTGCTTCGAATTGTAGTTAGACCGCTTTGTCAAATATCGTACTGGTCTCGTCATCGTCCAGTAACAATCGACATTCTTTGTTCCGTTGGGACTGTAGCTTTTGCTCGTTTTCGTTGCGCTTGCCTTCCCCTCTTTGGTCTTTCCATAACCTTGAACCTTCCAAGTTGGAAGGCTGTCGGTTAGCGCTACGGAGATGTGTTAAAGTTAGGTGTCAGGACGTCGAATGTCTCAGTACTCTGTCAGTTTTGTGCCTAGTTATTGCACTTTCTGACTGTATATAGTATCATGTTACAGTGATGGAGAGTTACTCTAAACTCGTATCCATATGTCCTTTTCTCTTTTACATTTATTTATGGCTCAACATCCGAGTTTCAAATTGCACACCTGATGAGCCGTCACGAACCATACGGCGAAACGTACGTCGTGTGAAACAACTTGTTTTGTAGTCAACTAGTCCATCACAATGTCATGCATGAGGAGTACTGTAGGAGTTTGGCTTTCGGCTTGTACAATTCGTTTTCGCAAAGCTTCCCTTTCTTTACTTATCTTTGATATTTATGACCCACCCAAGTTGGGTGGTGTGCTGCTTTGCTGCTTCGAATTGTAGTTAGACCGCTTTGTCAAATATCGTACTGGTCTCGTCATCGTCCAGTAACAATCGACATTCTTTGTTCCGTTGGGACTGTAGCTTTTGCTCGTTTTCGTTGCGCTTGCCTTCCCCTCTTTGGTCTTTCCATAACCTTGAACCTTCCAAGTTGGAAGGCTGTCGGTTAGCGCTACGGAGATGTGTTAAAGTTAGGTGTCAGGACGTCGAATGTCTCAGTACTCTGTCAGTTTTGTGCCTAGTTATTGCACTTTCTGACTGTATATAGTATCATGTTACAGTGATGGAGAGTTACTCTAAACTCGTATCCATATGTCCTTTTCTCTTTTACATTTATTTATGGCTCAACATCCGAGTTTCAAATTGCACACCTGATGAGCCGTCACGAACCATACGGCGAAACGTACGTCGTGTGAAACAACTTGTTTTGTAGTCAACTAGTCCATCACAATGTCATGCATGAGGAGTACTGTAGGAGTTTGGCTTTCGGCTTGTACAATTCGTTTTCGCAAAGCTTCCCTTTCTTTACTTATCTTTGATATTTATGACCCACCCAAGTTGGGTGGTGTGCTGCTTTGCTGCTTCGAATTGTAGTTAGACCGCTTTGTCAAATATCGTACTGGTCTCGTCATCGTCCAGTAACAATCGACATTCTTTGTTCCGTTGGGACTGTAGCTTTTGCTCGTTTTCGTTGCGCTTGCCTTCCCCTCTTTGGTCTTTCCATAACCTTGAACCTTCCAAGTTGGAAGGCTGTCGGTTAGCGCTACGGAGATGTGTTAAAGTTAGGTGTCAGGACGTCGAATGTCTCAGTACTCTGTCAGTTTTGTGCCTAGTTATTGCACTTTCTGACTGTATATAGTATCATGTTACAGTGATGGAGAGTTACTCTAAACTCGTATCCATATGTCCTTTTCTCTTTTACATTTATTTATGGCTCAACATCCGAGTTTCAAATTGCACACCTGATGAGCCGTCACGAACCATACGGCGAAACGTACGTCGTGTGAAACAACTTGTTTTGTAGTCAACTAGTCCATCACAATGTCATGCATGAGGAGTACTGTAGGAGTTTGGCTTTCGGCTTGTACAATTCGTTTTCGCAAAGCTTCCCTTTCTTTACTTATCTTTGATATTTATGACCCACCCAAGTTGGGTGGTGTGCTGCTTTGCTGCTTCGAATTGTAGTTAGACCGCTTTGTCAAATATCGTACTGGTCTCGTCATCGTCCAGTAACAATCGACATTCTTTGTTCCGTTGGGACTGTAGCTTTTGCTCGTTTTCGTTGCGCTTGCCTTCCCCTCTTTGGTCTTTCCATAACCTTGAACCTTCCAAGTTGGAAGGCTGTCGGTTAGCGCTACGGAGATGTGTTAAAGTTAGGTGTCAGGACGTCGAATGTCTCAGTACTCTGTCAGTTTTGTGCCTAGTTATTGCACTTTCTGACTGTATATAGTATCATGTTACAGTGATGGAGAGTTACTCTAAACTCGTATCCATATGTCCTTTTCTCTTTTACATTTATTTATGGCTCAACATCCGAGTTTCAAATAATAATAATAATAATAATAATAATAATAATAATATAAAATCTTGTAGGACGCATCACGCAGCTTCATAAGTAAAAAATTGGTTGTGAGCAACACTGGCTCACACTCAAATAACTGCTTTTCACCAGAAAAATATTATATTTCAACGTTTCGGTCATGAAATAACCATCATCAGGAATGAAGTGGGCACACCAGTTAGGATGGGTTAATATACGAGGAGCGCTGCAAACTGATAACAAATCACACCTGCATGCACTATGACGAGAGAGAGAACAAAAGGACAAAACATCACCAAAAAAAAACCCAGGTATAGAAATAACGCAATACGCGACAACTCTAAAAATGGCACAGGTACAAGCAACAAACAGAATGTACATGTGCACTAGGTGCGTGCAGACATGTAATTGCAGGCGCTAGCAACAACAGTAGTAGTAACAGCCTGCTGAATGATGCCATAGAAGATAAGTTCAATTGGAGAGCTCTCTGCTACCGGAACTTCACCACCTACCGGGCTGAACTCCGACCATACTCCAAGCAAGAGTACGTTTGGCTCCGAAATCTCTGTGATGCCGTTCGCAACAAGGAGTATCGCAGCTCGAGACGACGCCTATCCAGGAAGTTGGACTGGCTAAGGCAGCAAGCTGATTTGACGAGAACTCGTGCAGGGAGAGTTAGGGCGGAGACAGCAGCGGGTGACGCTGGCCAGGACCGGTCAGCGTGCGTTCTCGACTTAGATCACTGCGTACCCAATGAGACAGTAGCTGTGCTGCAGAACGGCCCTGGCTTTGTGCCATCCACTGGCCGAGTGGGGAAGAGAGACTTGGAGGATGTGGAGGTTGGAGTCGAGAGAATGGCCTATTCGCTACGGTGGTGGGCGAACGCAAATGTGGAGCAGCAGAACCAGGCCAATGCAGAACCGGACACATTCGACAGCAAAATTTGGCATATCAAAGCCCACGGTTTTGAACAGGGTCCAAAGCTGCCAAGGGAAGAAGAATTCGGCTTGGCCAGTTTCAAGCGCGAGGTCATGAATATCTACCGAACAGCGTCAGCTCCCCGGCCTAACATGTCTCGAAAAGACCGCGAGCGGCTTACCGACCTCCGCGACGATGATTCCGTGGTCGTCAAGAGGTCCGACAAGAGCAATAAGTTTGTGGCGATGAAGATGGCAACGTACCTTGATAAGGCCGAGACTATCCTGTCAGATGAGACAAAGTTCACACCCGTCAGTGTCACCATCGATGATTGGGAGAAGCAAACGCGCACTATCCTTCAACGCGTCTGTGGTGGTACACTAGAGAAGGACCTGTACCAAGCCATACTCCCTGGCGACAACAGGTTTCCGGAGATGTATGGCCTACCTAAAGACCACAAAGCCACGGTACCGCTTCGGCCAGTTGTGTCAGCTGTTGATAGCCCGGTGACCAATATTTCTATTGTCCTGGAGCGTATACTCAACCAATGCCTGAAGTATGTCCCAGCACATCTGAAAAACACGCTGGAAGCACTGGAGGATATCCGGCAAGTGTATCCCGACCTACAAGCCCCAGCGGGGACCATCATCGTTACGATGGACGTGGTCGCTCTTTACCCAAGTATCCCTATCGCTGAAGGGGTGCAGGCGGTTGCTAGAGTCCTGCAGCAGCACATCGAGTCTGTTGACACATTTGGTTTAAGCGTGGAGCAGATCGAAGAGCTGTTAACCTTCGTTCTAAGATCCAATTATTTCAGATTTGGTGAGAAGGTCTACCACCAGAGGGAAGGCATCGCCATGGGTAACAACCTAGCGCCCCCGTTTGCGATTATCTTCATGCATGACCTCGAAACCTCGCTGTTGCTAAACTCGCCTGGTGCTCCCGTACTCTACAAGCGTTATATTGATGACATCATTATGCTGTGGACACTGGGGGCCGCGCTTCTCCGCCAGCTGATTGCGTTCTTCAATACCGCCAATGCGAGCATCAAGTTCACGTATCAATCTTCGGAGGAAACTGGGTCGGTTGACTTTATGGACACGACTATTCATGTCTCCTCCGAGGGCGCAATATCATTCGAGCTGTTCCGCAAAGCTTGCCACAGTGGCCTCGTCTCAGACTTCAACTCCTGCGTTCCGCAACAGCAAAAACTCGCCATCGCGTCTTCGGAATTCCTCCGCGCGGCCCGCCTTTCCTCTGATCCTGCAGCCCGCCAGCGAAGTGAGCAAAAGGTTATTGACACATTAAAATTCAACAACTTTCCTGACAAAGTGATCGCGACTGCTCATGAACGAGCCAGACGACCTGCTAAACAGAAGAAAGACTATCGATCCACGTTGAAGTTACCATTCAAAACGGATGCCATCCACTACAGGGTCCACCGTCTTCTAAACAAATACAATCTAAATGTACAGATAATCTACAAGAATGCAAGGCTTTCCAACAGCGTCACTAAGTCCAGCCTCACTGGACCTTGCTGCCGTAAGTGGGTGGATCCCGCTGCCCCGAGGCGACGAGGAAGGCCTAAAGCCGCCTGCGTTGCATGCCAATCGAGCGAGGTAGAATGCACAAGACGCAACGTGGTTTATCGTCTGACCTGCAAGTGCTCGGAGAAGTATGTTGGAGAGACTGGCCGCAGTGTAGCAACGCGAACAAAAGAACACAATGATAACTCACGCAACAAGACGTCTGGAAAAGCCCTGGGCGAGCACTACCGACTTCACCATGGCGACGAGGTACTGCCGCTTGGCGAGTCGGCATTCACAGAGGTTCGCGTCCTTGCCACTGAGTCGGATCGGGCCAGGAGGAGAATACGCGAAGCAATACAAATTCGCGACACGAGCCCCAGCATAAACAATAACGCAGGGTGGGACCTCCTGTGAATTCTCTGGTGAGGCCTTGTACATATTTCTGGCCCTGATACTCGCTCTTCCTGGATGGTGGTGGTTTAGCACCCCTTGAACTAGTGCACTGTTACTACTACTGTTGTTGCTAGCGCCTGCAATTACATGTCTGCACGCACCTAGTGCACATGTACATTCTGTTTGTTGCTTGTACCTGTGCCATTTTTAGAGTTGTCGCGTATTGCGTTATTTCTATACCTGGGTTTTTTTTGGTGATGTTTTGTCCTTTTGTTCTCTCTCTCGTCATAGTGCATGCAGGTGTGATTTGTTATCAGTTTGCAGCGCTCCTCGTATATTAACCCATCCTAACTGGTGTGCCCACTTCATTCCTGATGATGGTTATTTCATGACCGAAACGTTGAAATATAATATTTTTCTGGTGAAAAGCAGTTATTTGAGTGTGAGCCAGTGTTGCTCACAACCAATTTTTTAATAATAATAATAATAATAATAATAATATGTAAAAAGGCGACGTGGAGACAATAATCTTAATAATGCAATGAATATAACTAAATGCGCACTCATATCACAACCATGGGGACGAATCATGTACATGTATTCCAGAACGTTTTCTTGTCACAATTATCAATGGAATTCGTGACTAAAGAGAATGATGAAACTACAATAGGATTTATACACTTGGAGTGGAACAGCGAGGATACAAGCATAGTAAGAAAAATAGCACAAACCTAGGAACAATGTGCACAGGTAATAAACTATAGGTGAGGTGAGAAATGATAGGAAATTCAGCAAGTGCAGTGTGACAATGGACATGCATGTGCAAGTGTGTGTGAGTGCGAATTTACTGGAATAGCGTAAGTGCGGTGACATTTTCTTTTTGTTTACAAAGATTTGGATCACGAATGCGAATGTAGACTGCTTCTAGAACTTTCAACTGCTTGAAACTACTTGCAGAACGAACAACACTGAACCAAGAATCATCATAACTTTCACGACACACGGGGTTAGACAACCTCACCTATAGTTTATTACCTGTGCACATTGTTCCTAGGTTTGTGCTATTTTTCTTACTATGCTTGTATCCTCGCTGTTCCACTCCAAGTGTATAAATCCTATTGTAGTTTCATCATTCTCTTTAGTCACGAATTCCATTGATAATTGTGACAAGAAAACGTTCTGGAATACATGTACATGATTCGTCCCCATGGTTGTGATATGAGTGCGCATTTAGTTATATTCATTGCATTAATAATAATAATAATAATAATAATAATAATAATTTTACAAGAAGTCGGAGGCGGATAATACTTTAATAACGAAGGTACGTGTTAGGTCGTAAGTATCCACGCAAACACACATCCAGTCAAAATAAGGCACTTGTCAAAGTATCCGAACGTTTTCGGTCCCTTCTCATCAAGGATTATACAGGGAATGGCTCAAGTTGGAAAGACTAAAACTTATATAGCGTAAAGATATGAGATAACAACACTCGTGACAAGGTGAAAAAAAGTATCAAGTTCAGCACGACACAAAACTCGAAGGACATAATAATAGCGACAAGAACATAGTGAGCAAATTAAGTTACATTGTTAACACCTCGACGAGGAGTAACACCAAACAATTGTAGCGACAACACATTTTCTTTTTGTACGCAAAGTTCAGGATCTAACTTACGGATATACAAAGCTTCTAACACAGCCAGATGCAACGCACATCTACCACGTGACAATATTGAGAACACATTATCACTGTACAACTCACGAGCAACATCTGTCAGCCCGTACCAATTGTCGTGAGTTGTACAGTGATAATGTGTTCTCAATATTGTCACGTGGTAGATGTGCGTTGCATCTGGCTGTGTTAGAAGCTTTGTATATCCGTAAGTTAGATCCTGAACTTTGCGTACAAAAAGAAAATGTGTTGTCGCTACAATTGTTTGGTGTTACTCCTCGTCGAGGTGTTAACAATGTAACTTAATTTGCTCACTATGTTCTTGTCGCTATTATTATGTCCTTCGAGTTTTGTGTCGTGCTGAACTTGATACTTTTTTTCACCTTGTCACGAGTGTTGTTATCTCATATCTTTACGCTATATAAGTTTTAGTCTTTCCAACTTGAGCCATTCCCTGTATAATCCTTGATGAGAAGGGACCGAAAACGTTCGGATACTTTGACAAGTGCCTTATTTTGACTGGATGTGTGTTTGCGTGGATACTTAAGACCTAACACGTACCTTCGTTATTAAAATAATAATAATAATAATAATAATATATGTGGAAGAGAAAAGGACATATGGATACGAGTTAAGAGTAACTCTCCATCACTGTCACATGATACTATATACAGTCAGAAAGTGCAATAACTAGGCACAAAACTGACAGAGTACTGAAACATTCGACGTCCTGACACCTAGCTTTAACACATCTCCGTAGCGCTAACCGACAGCCTTCCAACTTGGAAGGTTCAAGGTTATGGAAAAGACCAAAGAGGGGAAGGCAAGCGCAAGCGCAAGCGCTTGTACAATTCGTTTTCGCAAAGCTTCCCTTTCTTTACTTATCTTTGATATTTATGACCCACCCAAGTTGGGTGGTGTGCTGCTTTGCTGCTTCGAATTGTAGTTAGACCGCTTTGTCAAATATCGTACTGGTCTCGTCATCGTCCAGTAACAATCGACATTCTTTGTTCCGTTGGGACTGTGGCTTTTGCTCGTTTTCGTTGCGCTTGCCTTCCCCTCTTTGGTCTTTTCCATAACCTTGAACCTTCCAAGTTGGAAGGCTGTCGGTTAGCGCTACGGAGATGTGTTAAAGCTAGGTGTCAGGACGTCGAATGTTTCAGTACTCTGTCAGTTTTGTGCCTAGTTATTGCACTTTCTGACTGTATATAGTATCATGTTACAGTGATGGAGAGTTACTCTTAACTCGTATCCATATGTCCTTTTCTCTTCCACATTTATTTCTGGCTCAACATCCGAGTTTCAAATAATAATATAATAGCTATAAAGAGAACAAATTCTGCTGTCATCGCCACACTACAACAAAGTCATGAAGGTTTACCAAAATCGATTTTCTTGTCACAATCATCCGTGGAAAGCCGTGACTGAAAAATAACCATGCCAAATCAATAATTTATATACATTCAATAATGTGTTACGAGAACAAAACAAAGTGCTAAAAATAGAATGAGGGAAGGTGAGACAATAGAAGTAAAGTGAGAGCTAAGTGCAACAGGGGTGAGGAACTAATTGCAACGCTAGAACTGTGTAGTGAGACAAACAATCATGCTGTGCACGTACGAAAACAATCTTAACGCAACTACATGTTTCTTCTGCTTACAGAGATCAGGCTTATGCAAACGAATACAAACAGCCTCAAGTACGTTCAACTGACTAGCGTACCGTGCACGACAAAGAACAGAAAAACTAAAATCATCATACACCTGCACACACTTAGGGTGAGACAACAGATGAAGAAAAAAGGCAGACTTCTTACGATCACAATCACCATCCGATTCCTCGTCTCCACCAACCGCGACCTCGTCCCCCGTTTCATCTTCCAACTCGTCCTCAGTGTCGTCCTCCGTGTCATTCTCCTCATCACCACCGATCGGTCCCAGGCTCGCTTCACGTTGCTGAACCTCTGTTCGTTGACTCCTCCTTTGATCTTGATGGTAATTTGTTACCATTGTTGTTGTTGTCGTTGTTGTTCCTGTTGTTGCTAAATCTTCTGTTCCCAGTGTCTTCGCCGGTGCTTGACATCCAGGACTGTAATAATTCATTGAATAATTAGCCGTTGATCGTCTAGGTCTTTGAATGTTGATCGTGTCGTTTTCTCTGTTGAATTCCGTTTCCTTCAGCCTTCTTTCTTCTTGTTCATGTTCAGTGCTTACCTCATCCATATTTGCCCGTGCCAGCGACACCACAGACTCAGCCCCAGCACTGCCGATGGCAGATGCAGGTGGCGGTTCTGGGGGAGGCAACGGCAACGATGGCGATGGGGGCATCACCATGATCACCTCGTCGCAGCGTCCACTTTGGTCATGAGCTGGATGTTGTTGTGGTGTACTTTCTTGTGTTGTTATGGTGCATTGTGTTATAACGTTAGTGACAATGTGCATATTATCCATCTACACGGCTCTCGATACGGGTAATGGAGGCACTATTGCCGTCGACGGCAATTGTGCTAACGATGGCTCTGATCGAGGGTTCTTAGGCGGCCTGCCGCGTTTGGGTCGCAGTGCCCGTGCCGAGCCAGTCAGCATGTGCAGTGGGACGTGCTATACGTGCGTTCAGATGTTGAAGAGTCCTACCAACGTACCGACTACCGCCTTGTCGGCACTCAAATTGGTATACCAATTTAGA